CGGGGCGAGCCGCGCCGGGTGAGGAGGGCGGTGGCGCTGAAGGGGGGAGACCGGCCCATGGACCCGCGGGGCCCGGCGCCCCAGACGCTGCGCCGCCGGGACCGAGCCCAAGATGTCGGCCTAGGCCGGGGCGCGACGACGCGGACGGGGCAGCAACGAGGCGCCGCCGCTGCCGGGGCTCGCGGACGCCGGGCCCCCGAAAGCTCGCCCTGACGGACTGGCCGAGCGGGCGGCGAGAGGCCGGCGAGTGGAGAGCGGGCCGCGCGGCACCATGTCGGCCAAGGTGCGGCTCAAGAAGCTGGAGCAGCTGCTCCTGGACGGGCCCTGGCGCAACGAGAGCGCCCTGAGCGTGGAGACGCTGCTCGACGTGCTCGTCTGCCTGTACACCGAGTGCAGCCACTCGGCTCTGCGCCGCGACAAGTATGTGGCCGAGTTTCTCGAGTGGGGTAAGTGCGCGAGGGGCGCGGACCGGCCCCTCAGCCCCCCGCCGGGGCTCACCTTCCTCCCCGCCCTGCCGCCACCTCCGCGCTGCCCTCAGGCCTCCGTTCAGCCCGCCTCGTCACTGCTCCCAGACCCACGTCCCCATCCGTCTCCGACCGCTCCGGCCCCTCCGCGGCTCCCCGTCCCTCCCTGCACTCGGGCCCTCGCACATCCGCGTCGGGTCGTTCCGCCCCCTCATCCTGCTCCTAGGAGCCACATCCTCCGTTCCCACCCCCACCCCCTCCCCCAGCATGCACCGCGGGCCTCAGGGCAGGGACAGGGCTAGGGCTGTACTCTGCTAGCTGGCAGTGGCCATGGGCTTAGAGCCCCCAGCCGGGCCATCGCCCCTGCCGCTTCCTAGATCCACCCTCCGAGTCTGGATATCACTTCCTGCAGCACTCACTGGGATATCCACCCCCCCGCCCCCGCCCCCGGCTTTGGGGTCCAGAGTCAGCGCCCAGTGTCTCCCCACCACGCACTTTGCTGGCTTGTGGGTGCGGCCGCGTGTGCTTTTTTGCATCCGCCTCCCCAACAGTTCTGTGGGTCCCCCAACCCGTGAGCAACTCCTGGGAGCCCACCTCCAACGGCCCCTCCTAGGTGACAGCATGCCTACATTCCCTTGGTGTCCAGGGCCTGGACACCCTCTTGACTGTTGCACCTCCAAGGGAGTTTCACTCCAAAGTAAGGTGAAAAGCCTTATTTTGAATATGCCATGGAAGAGCAAATTGATTTTTGTTCTTTGTGATTACACCGGACCCTTGTAATGTTTTGGGGGTAGCTGGAACTGTCAGTATATGGAAGTCATTTAAAAACTTTCTTCATCTGATCTTTGCATGCCTCCTCTAGTTAATCCAAGGATCTATAATCCTGTAATGGTTGATCAATCTATTACGTTTTGTTAGGACACAAATTTGGTTAAGCCATTTAATGGTCATTAGAACCCTGAAGACCGCTCCCTGTGTAAAGGGAAACCCTTTGGCTTTACCTTGTACCATGGGCATCCTGTCAGGACCCCCCGGACTCAACTAAAAGGGTCGACCAGGAAGACGGTGTGTGCAGGCCGAACCTACGAAAATCCTGTCCTTGGGTCATTTGTGTCATTGGACTAGGACTGTGCAGTTTGAACCAGTAATTTCTAATCTTTAGTGCTGAGAAAGCTGATGTTTACGTGAAGAAACAAAATTCTGCAGTGAGGCCTCCTACTCTGCTAAAACGGTAGTAACTGGAATTGGAATTTTGTTTACAAATTAAAACTTAAGGTACCATATTCTTTAGAGGGCTTATGTTTTTTGCTCTTTAGTGAGATGTTGACAGGATGTCTTGTGAGAGCAGCAGTAGAAGCAGGCCGTGAGCCCCAGGACAGCCTGTTATGCTCTAGTTCAGTGAGGACCACCACTCTTGGTTACATACGAGTACAGCATCAGTAAAACGAGAGTAATCACTTTCTGGGGTCCTTTATCAGTGACCTGATTTCCAACTGAATAATTAACTGACTTCACAGTTGCTTTGAAAGTGAGGTCTTTGGTGCCTCTTACACCTGAGCCTTCTGAATATCGTGTTTGTCACTACTGTCTGAGCATTTGATCTTGAAATCCAGAGTTCCACACCAGGTTCAACTCCGTGCGGTCTTTTGAGTAAAAGTGTGACTGAAAGGAGGAAGCAGAGGGAAGGCTCCTGTCGCTGGTAAGGTGTCACCCCTTGACCTCTGGCCTGGGAACTCAGGGGTGCCTTGGCAGGATTAGTCTGAAGGCTGGGTGCCCTGTGGACCAGGGGTCCTTGTGCAGCACCCCATCACCAGACAGCGCCAGCCACTCTGGACTGGTGGGCAATGCTGGAGGAACCTCTTCTCAGCCTGTGTGGAGGTCTATTTTATGAGATTTGACCTTGTCAGATCTAAACAGAAGCTGTGTGCTATTAAGATAAAAATATTTTCAAAATTGTATTCTGGCTCATTGGAAATGATGATTACAAATAAATTACATTATCCTAAGAACTCAATTTGCATACAAGTGTAAACTTTACGTTACAGAGAGGAAGAATGGACTTAAATTTAAGGTGGCATTTTTATGAAATACTAGTATATTTTAGAAGTCGTATTTGATTTCATGTGTGTTAGCATATGCACCATTGTAACTGCAGTGGTGTGTCACTAGTTAAGTTGTGTGTGCCGTCATTATTTACTATTAGTCGGAAGGCCCAGATACTGAGATTGGAAGGCTAGGGTGGTCTTCCCAGTAGAATTGTTTGCAGAGCATTATCAGGCACCCTAGTGACTTCTGCTCAGGAAACATGTATGTAGGCTGTCAGTCTGGAGATTGTTGAGTTTTGGGACTCACACTCTGTATGAAGTTTGAAACCTCGGATGTGTTGAGTCCTTTCGTGCAGAGGGCCAATCCCTCCTTACCTTCCAAATCTTGCTAGGTGTCTAATGACAGGTAGGTAGAATTCTTGAAACTTAAGGAAGAAAAGTGGCTGATTGAGCTCAGCTTTTGAGACTTACTGGGAAATCTTTGAGGATATCTGGAAAGTATAGGTAATAAAGTTTTTAAGTTTTAAAAGAAGACTGTTTCTGGCTCTTATTTTCTTATTTCCACAGTGGTTGCTTGGAACAAGAGTCAGTCATCCTAGCCTTCAGTGTAGGTTTTTGTCTTTAATTTTCCCTTGATTATGTTTATAGTTTGATTAGTTTCCTCTATTAAATCACGGACCTTAATTAAAAGTTGGAAATACCCTGCTTTGCATGTGTATTTCTTTAAGCTATTTTAATGCAAATTTGATACCATTTGAAGCAGAGCATATGAAACACTGAAATTTCTATAAGTAAACAGCAACAAACATGGACAACTAAAATGAGATGAATTGTCTTTCATCTTTGTTATATGGAAATACTTTTACATGTGTTAAATATGTAACGTGGCTTCAGCGTTATAGCTCGTGTTACATTTGGATGGAGCTGATGTTTGAAGTCCCAGCCTATTGGCATTGGATGGACTGCAGTGGCCCTCTCGCTGGTCCCCTGTGGCCTGTGGCCAGGGTGGGAGGTCTGAGGCTTGCTGCAGGTGTGGGCATGCCTCACGGAGGCCATCCTAGGTGTGAGTTTCCCAGTTCTTGGTCAGGGCCACCTTCTCTCACTGTGACTCGTACTTTCTCTATAAAGGAACAGGATTCATCTTCGAGCCCTCAGTTTAATTTCCTCTTTTGTTTCTTTTCTTGTTATGAATGCAGCAGGACCTTCTCACAGTCCTCCTTTGATGTGAATTCCCGTATCTGTCAGTGTGGGGATGCTCAGCACTGGGTGAGGGGGCTGACTCTACCAAATTTAATAAGTTTAGACTTCACAGATGGTGCTAAACATCTCAAGATACGTTTTAATTTTAGTGGTTTCTCCAGATAGGATGTTTGCATAACATGGGAACACTTATTTTAAATAACAGATTTAAGAAACAGGTCTTTTGTGTAAGAACCAAATTGTAGGGAGATATTGGGATTGCATAATAAAGATGAGGTTAACATAATTTAGATTTTATTCATAGCTACTTGAAAAGCAAGTGATAGGGAGCGCTCAGCATGTGATAGGAATTGAAACCACCAGGCGTTACTGAGCCAGCCTTACCTTTCCTCTCCTACAACCTCCTGCCCTGACAGTCGGTCTCTAAAGTGAACAGTAGTGTCTGTTAAATCCAGACTTGCAGTAAATAAAACTGGAGTTAGAGCGAGTTGTCCTCATCTCAGTACCACGATAGGAGCCGCCTAACTAAGTGACTGATGGGCAGTGAACTGCTCTGCAAGCACAGGACCCGGAGGCACCCAAGCAGCCACCTGACACTACACGGGGCTGACAGGTAGCTCCCTGCCTTTGCCCTGCCTCCTGCTGCCCTTGGAAACCCTTCCTGTCTGTGCTCAGTCGATGCTGGTAAACACGGGAGCAAACAGACTGTTAATTCCAAACTATATTAAGAACGGCAAAACTTCTGAATGTTTTTCTTGGTAAAGAGGCAGAGAGTAGTATCTTTTGAGACTAATAAAGTAAGGATCTTGCTGGAAGAGACCAAATACAGTTTTTTAGCTTTTTTATCAAAAGGGATAAAATAAAATTAAAGGAAATTTCAAAAGAATTAAAAAACAACAACCCTATAATCACATAAGCCTACCGCCCCCCCATAACATAACACCTTTTAGTCCTTGTCTTGAGTTTGTTTTTTTGTTAGATTCTTAGAATGTTCCAGAATGACAGTATGTTAAAGTTATCTTAAATTTGTGTGAGAATCTCACTAACGAAGATAAAAGAGAGGAAAAGACATTTTTCTTAGATTTTAAATCACAAGTGTTTTGACAATGTGAAATATCTATCTATCTATCTATCTATCTATCTATGGACTTAAAATTTACCAGAGAAACAACTTTAAAAAAACAAAATCGATACTACCTATGATTATGAAATAAAGGTCACACTTTACAGTATGATTTCAGACAATCTGTGTATAAGGTTTTTGTGTATTTGATTTTTGGTCAATTTTATTGACTGGTAGGTAACGGGCAACAAAATTGTTTTTAGATGAAAACTTTGCAAAAAGGATTATTTATATACTAGGAGACTTTGGATTTTGTATCTTTAGGAAAGAATTAGAAATTCAAAGAGAAATTTGAATCGTAAATTTCAGTTGACTCCCATCTTGCACTGGAGCTTCTTGGGAGATGTGTGGAACTTATTTTTCTAAGGGGATTTTTAATGTTATTGAGGTGGTGATGATCCCACCAGCTTCCAGAATCACAGAGGCATGGGTTTGAAAACTGTTAGGAATTTGAGCGATCACATGATCTGCTCTGTACCCCCTCCCGCCCTCCCATCCTCACCCTCCCTTGGGTATACCAGGCTCTGGACATTTTCCCCAAGTCCTTTCTGAGCAAGCAGGCTTCCAGCCTAGCTGGGGTTTCTCTTCTCCTCTGGACTGTGATCAGCCTGTCC